CCTGAGAAGCCGGTTACAGGAAACTTGATAGTGGGCCTTTTGCTGGTGGCACACAATGGTAGGCATGTGCCAGGTACAAAAGGGATGTAACCAGTAATGAGACTTGATTCATAGCACCATGGGCCAACTGGACTGCTTGCTGGCTGGAAGTTCAAATGCATATCACCTAGAGGTGTCTAAGGTCACACGTGGGATTGAGACCCAAGCTTGCCTAGCCACTCTAGACACAGGCAGGAGCTAGAGCAATTTGGGGCTCTTTTCTTGCCACAGCAAGTCAGGAAAACAGCCCCTCAGCACATACAGAATGAGAATCTCAGGAAAAGGATCCAGCCAAAATGTCAGCAGCACTGGAATTTCGACAGACCTGAGTTCCAAGGTAGGTACCTGAGACAGGTGTGCCTTGCAAGGCTAGGCACATGGCAGGTTCTCAGCAAACATCTTCAGACCAAGTAAGACACCTGTCTGGGAGTCATGAAGGCTTAATCACGTTTATAGGCATTCAAAACATGCTTCCTGCAAGTCAAGGTGCCAAGTGCTGGAGGACAAAGGCACGAGGCATTGCCTCAGCTCTCAGAGAGCCATGATCAGGACAGAAGAGTGACCGAGACCTTGAGGGTACAGGCGCCTGGAATGGAAAGCACAGGGCGTCAGAGCCCTCTCTGCCCACAGGGAGACAGGGCTCAGAAAGGCTTCCTATCATCTGCATCTGCCTAGGCTGTGTCTTGAAGGGTGAGGAGGCCTTAGCCCCAGGCAAGGGCACAGAAAGCATGAGCAACGGACAAAGCCACCAGGCACAGAGATCCTTCTGAGTCTAGGTGCTGTCTGGAATGAGGGCACAGGCTAGTGAGTATCTTTATGGCTCAGATCAAAAGACAGTCTAAGGGTGGAGAGGTGACTCAGTTGGAAAAGCACTTGTTATTAAGCCATGAGGATGTCAGTATTCAATCCCCAGAATCCACATAAAAGGCTGGATGTGGCAGGTACATACCTATAATACCAACACTGCCGTGGTAGAGACAGGAGGATCAGTGGGGTTCACTGGCCAGTTTAGCTGAATTGGCAAGCTCCAGGTCCCATGAGAGAGACTATCTCAAAAGATAAGGTGGAGACAATTGAGTAAGACATCAAATGTCGACCTCTGAACTCCTCACACAGGAACTCGCATACACATATACACATACTCGCAAAGGAAAAAAAAAAACATAGTTCAGTTCACAGGCTCCAAGAAGCCTAAAAGCCTGCAAATTACTGAGACACTGACAAAGGACAGTGTCCCCATGTGCTGTGCTGGGGGCAAGGCTTAAGGAGCCCAGGACGTTAGAAAAATGCTCCAGGGCAGGAGTATGTCCTATAACTCAACTCTTCTAAGGGTTCACAAGCTTCCAAGACAGGGATGCTGGAAGGGCCTTGCTGGGAAGGATGGAAGGTAACTAGAAAACAGGAACAAAGTGATTCAAGGTGAGGCTGATGGGATGAGGGAAGAGCAGCCTTGGGTGAGACCCAGACAATGAGTTACACTTAGAACAGTAAACCAGTTTTTATTCAGAATAAATTCGCCTATCAATAAACAACTAGTCTTAGAGTGTGTAGCAAGCACATATGTGTAATCCCAGCACTCAGGAGTCCACCTCAGGAGGTTCACAAGTCACATATGTGTAATCCAGCACTCAGGAGGCCACCTCAGGAGGTTCATGAGTTGGAGGTCAGCCTAGGCTACACAGTGAGAGACTGCTTCAAAATGTCAAAACCAAGTTTGGAGATAAGAGTTCAGTGGTTAGAATACTTGCCTAGCACTAGGCAAAAGGTCCTAGGTTCAGTTTCCAGTACCACAAAACAAGCAGATGAAAAATCAGGCAGGTCAGCTTCAGAAACAGTGTGCTGGTCTGTTACTTACAAAGGAAAATGTGCCAGGCTGGAGGGAACAGTACAGCTTACGTAGTCCACAGACAAGTGCTCTGAGGCTGTGGGCAGACAAGGGCTCCTGTGCAGTATCAGTGTTCCCTTATCCATGTGAATACCACATGCTTGGCCTCACTCAGTTCTCACCTAAGTCCTGCCTGTCTCTACGGCTGACCAAACAGAAGCTGGAGGCCTGGAAGGAAGGCAAGGCAAGCTCCAAGTTCTAACTGAGAGCACACTGAGCGCTCCAACCCATGATTTGGAGGAAAGTGGGATCTTCTGAGATAAGTAGCACCCAATCTGGAGGTTCCCCAAAAGACAGACAGGAAAAGCCCTGGAAGGCGGTGGGACCAGGGAAGGCTATATCTTCAGCACTCAGCATCTACCTTTTACTCAATAGAAAACCTGGGTCTCTGACAGAAATACAAAGCCCATCACCTCACTCTACTCCACCTACAAAGCAAGAGGCTACAAGCCAGTCTTCTCCCTTCTTTCGTGTCCCAAGGACATAGTGTCAGGAGTCTGTATGTACAGCCCAACTCACTCCCCAGCTTAAATGCCACGCAGGAACGATCCCCACTCTTGAGCTCCAGACCAGGAGACACTTACCCACTGCCTGATGGCACCTTTCCAAACTCAAGGCTTTCTTCCTCCCCGGGCCTGTCTCTTTCTGTATCCTGTGCATTGTGGCCGTGGGCTGCCAGTCACCCAACGCCCTCCTTCCGCCCTGGCTCCTGCCATTCTGGCAGCTGCTTGTCTTCAGTCTTGCCATTCTGTTTTATGATTGTCTCAAGGTAATCAACTGTGCCCACATTCAGCGCAGCAGCCCAGGTGGCTTTAGAACACACTCATCTGACCAGGTCCCTCACAAGCCACACTCTTCCAGAAACTTCCAAATCTCACTCAACACTGTCTCCACAGTTCACACAGCACCTTCTCATATTAATTCATTTCCTTCCTTTTTTTTTCCCCTTTAGTACTGGGGATTGTGCCTAGGGCCTTGTGCATGCTAGATAAGAACTTGATTACTGAGTTGTGTTCCCTAGCCCTTTCTGTAGTTGTTTTGAAACAAAAGTCTTGCTCTGCAGCCCAGGCTGGCCTAAAATTTGGTCCTTCTGCACCTGACTCCCTATTGGGGTTATAACTTGGTGCCACCACACCCAGCTCACCCCCCCCAGGTCCTGGGCATTGAACACAGGGCCTTGCATATACTAGGTAAGCACTGTTGAAGTATGAATTCAATAAATACATACTGAAAGGATAGTGAAAATTCCCAGGTAATGAAATTCAGGCTTGTTCTCAGTAAAAGGCCTGAGGGCTTTTTTGTTTTTCTTAAATGTCTCCATTTAGAAGGTGATGGCTGCAAACTGCCCCTGAAACAGCTGTTTGTAAAGGCTTTTTTTCTTCTATTTAGCACTGTCAAAACAGAAAAGGTGTGTTCAAACAGGGCAGATGTTAACTGCTTCTGACAACCCACTTCATTGTCCTGTGTGCTTTAAACTAGAAGCCATGCAAAGGCAAACGCTCTACTATGGCTTCTGAGGCTGCTCAGTCGCTGATAAGGATTAGGAGCAACACCGTGTGCCCAAGGTCACCGAGACTTGCTGGACAGTCCTGGCAGGTGTGGTTAGTCAGAGCAAGTAAGGTATACATGCAGGTGAACTTGCAGTCCCAGGGAGGTGAATTTGATTGTTGTTATGAAAACCCTGCCTAGATTACTGGATTTCTTCTGCAACCCAAAAGGTCACCCTTAATCCAGTTGAAAGCCACTACTTTGCTAGTTCACTGGTTGACACCTATCACTTAGAAAATGGCATCTTTATTTCCTCTAACAACCACTTAAGAGAGTGCCTGGCCCACTGAATGCCAGGCCATGGGGGCGCCGTGAGTGGAGCCAGGTTCTAAATGCAGCTGTCAACACCGAGTATGTCCCATAAAGTCTTTATCTGAGTGCTGAGCAGATTAGGTGAGGGTTAATCCTCAGAATAAAGGAAGCACACACAGGGGTCATACCACTCACTATGAATGGTCACTATCAAATATTTGAAATGTCTTGATCATTTGTCATTCGGGTTGGTCTTGACACCAACCTTGACTACACAGAATGGACACCAGCTGGGGTGAGAGCTTGAAAGAGCATGAGCACACTTATCCCAAAACTCAGTGAACACTCACAGGTGCCTATTGAGAGGAGGGGGTTAAAAAATGAGAACGGAGTCCTTGACTCCAAGTAGATGAAATGGCATCACATGCCAAATTATGGGACAGCTGTACAACTTGCCTGGAAGTCACCTGCTGGTCTTCCAGCAGAACACGGTGAAATGAGGAAAATCGTTTTGAGCCTCTGCCCACTTTGGAAAGATGGTAACACCATTGCCATAAACCAGCATACACCTGCACACGACCCAGCTGGGTTAGAGTTAGTCCAAGAAGACCAGAGCACAACTGCTTCTGAATTGAGCCAGGCTTGTCAAGGAGACACTGGCCAGGCTGCCAGCATCCCTGACAGGCTGATGTCTGTTACGTGGTGCCCACCCCCATATGGTGCCAGCTCTGCCCTCCAGCTACGTTATTCAAGACTCCAGAAGCACAGGGCCAAGCTAAGGCACAGGTGACACAGGCGACACAGACAGGTCAGAGACACAGGCTCTCAGGCTGGGAAAGTACCTAAGCGTCAGGTGGGCAGCTGTGTCATCTTTGGCAAGTGAAGGGCCCGAACTGTTGCAGGTCTTCGAGGGCAAAGGTATATAAACACTGCTGCAATTTCGAACAAATACAGAAAGGATTTCCTATTCCACAGGGACGGAAAGTGTCCTAAGGGAAGGTTGACACAGAGGCAGTTCTTTCCCACAACACAAAACCAAGAGGAGGCAGCGACGACCTAAGAAGGCCCGGCCTGCCCAAAGGGATCTGACACCCGGGCCCGCGTCACGCACCAGGCTCCGGAGCACCAGCCCCGGAGCCCCCAACCCGCTGCGACCAAGACATTAAGCACCGCCCGTGTCTCCTCTCTCAGTCCGTCCGTGCTGCCGATCAGCGCAAGATGACAGTGATACCCTCACACCCCGCGTCCAGCCGCCACGCCCCCGCCGCGCACCCACCTCGGCGCTCCGCACCGCACCGCTCCCTTCAGCTCTCCGCTGGACCGCGCGAGCCTTTCTGCGCACGCGCGTAGGCGGCCCCGCCCCACAAGCACGCGCTTGCGGGCTGCCCACCCCGAGCGCCCCGCGTCTCAGCGCGGATGGCTCTGGGCATGCGCGCTTGCGCCCAGGCGGCGGCCAGTCCGGAGCATGCGCTAGCCAAACAGTGGTTCCCGCGCTCGGGGGCAGGGGATCGTCAAGAGAGGTGGGGGCTCTAGCGTCCAGTGTGAGGCCAAGTCTTGGGCATATGGAACCGCGATGGCTGCCCGCTGAAGTCGCCGTGTGACCCGGTTACACGTGGACCCGAACTACCCGTTCGTGATGTCCAATCTTGAGCGGGTAGAGTGTAGGGCTCCTAGCTAGGGGCGGGACTTGTGCCAAGAAGCTTGGAGGCCAAGACTACTGGGAGATGCTTCTGGGAGTGACAACTGGACGGATCCCAGAGATGGGGAACGACAGGACAAGAAAGAGGTGGGAAACAGGCAGAGATGCAGCTGCGGATGGGGACACAAATACGCGACCGGCAGAGTCAGGCCAGAGTGGACATGGGGACAAGATCCACGGTGGTGGACAGAGGCAGCCATCCTTACACCGGAGGAGCCCGCAGTATTTGCGGATCCCGGTTGGAGGCGGAGAAGCCACTGTCCTGGCTGTGCAGTTGAACCACGACCCCCACAGCGGTGTACAGGTGGCAACAGTGGCTTTGGGGAGTTCTGAGGACTCTAGTGTATCACAACATTGGAGAGCTGATGAATCAGTGACCCGTGGGATGTGCTCAAACCCCAGATCGATCCTGCATCCCCTGGAAGTGGGGCGGTTCTCAGGAGACCCCGTGTAGTAGGCAGCCAGGGTGATCAGGGTCCTCTGAGGGTGACTGTCCTACAAGTCTCCAAGTAGCTCTTAGAGCCCTTCACACTCCTCTGTATTGGAGGTGGGGTGTCGCCAAAGAAGTTAAAAGCGGGGATGGGGAAAGGGAGAAGTTAGATGGCGACGCACGTGACACTTGCAGCAGGCTAATGCACTGATGAACTCGCCCAGTGATAAGAGCAGTGCCCGCCCACTCCACGCCCGGCTCGCAGGTTCAAGCGGTCCCGCAGCGCCCCCGCCGCTCGCGCCTCTGCAGCCTTCGCAGGCGCCGAGTCCAGGCATCCCTCCAGGGCAACACGAGGCTTCCACGGGCAGCGCTGAGTCCGGGTCCCCGGCCCGCCGTGCTTCCAACTGCAGGCCCGGGCCCGCCCCCCAGCAGCAAGTAACGCCGGCCGGGTAGGAGGCGCGGGCAACCGCAGGCGGCGTCTAGGGTTGGTACCCACAGCGCGTTGCTCCCCCGCCGAGCGCGCTCCTCGCCGCTGCGGAACACAGCGAGCACTGCTACCGGAAAGCGTGTCCACGCGCCGCGGGCCTCGCCGCGCGCACCCACTGACACCTGCACGGCTGGGGAGGAGAGCGTGAGAAAGCGATGGGGTCAGGCGGGGCAGGGCCGGAAGGGACTGTGTGGAGAAGCACAGAGTGCCCACCAGGCTAAGGAAGGACAGAAAGAGGCCACCCGCTAGAGGGAGGTGCATTGAAGACATAGCTGCTGAGTGGGCGGAGCCAGAATCAGTGGGAGACCCCGGGAGAGGATAAGGCTTGAATTTCAGCCAAGAGTCAAGGTTTTCAAAGGAGTTGGGGGCGAGATGGAAGGGCTGGGGTGAGGCAGCCTACCATAGTCCTTCCTGCAGAACTTCTTCAGGCTGATTCGGTAACTGCCACGCGCAGGTCTGCAATGCGACTCACAGTCTAGGGGGAGGGAAAGAGCGGAGGCTAGCAGGGTTCCATGCCTCTCCCCCACACTGGTCTACATCAGCTGTAGCCCCCTTCTCCAAGGTCATACCAGTCTGGGAGTCCGGCGTCCACTCACCCTGTGGCTCCACAGGACTGCTTTCTTCAGTGGGTCCAGGAACAGGGGTCTCTAAAGAGTGTGGGAGAATAGTCTGTGATGGGGTGGCAGGGGTATCTGAAGGTCTCGGGGGGCAGACGGACAACAGTAGCTAATGTCTTTGGCTGAGGTGATTGAGACAGAGCAGGGTCACTCACTAACACAGGGCGCCACAGGAGAACGGCTCTGCTGGAAGCCTGGGGCACATCGGTTACAGGTGAGGCCAGTAACACCATCCTTACAGGGACACTGGCCTGTGGTTTGGTTACAGGTTTTGCCAGCAGCACCAACTGGATGGCAGTCACAAGCTGAGGACAGAAACAAGGGGCTCGTTCAGAAGTGCATCGGGGATCTGGGGGAAGCCGAGCGTGAAGGCATGCAGGTGGTAGGCTCACCTCTGCAAGCACGACGGTCACTCAGGACACGGCCTGGGTCACGATAGAAGCCCTCCCGGCAGTAGTGGCAGTGGCGACCAGCAGTATTGTGCCGGCAATTGAGGCACACCCCCCCACTGCGGCGGCCGGACAGTCGGTACAGCTCCATGTTGAATCGGCATTTTCGGGCATGGCCATTGCAGGAGCAAGCTGCAGGGAGGGATCAGTCAGGAGCAGCCCTGCCTGGTCAGAAGTCCCCAGGCTACCCTCCAAGGCCTCACCAAGGCAAGCGTGGGCTTCCTGCCCTGTAGCCCGCTGCCATGGCCTGTCGCAGTAGAAGGGCTTGCAGCGGCTACAATCAGGGCCCTCTGTACCATGCTGGCAGTCGCAGATCAGATGGCCATGGCTGTCCAACAGACACCGTGAGGCATGCCCATTGCACTTGCACCGACCTCCCACCTGGAGCTCAGTGGCTGAGTAGGAGTAAGGGACTGTGACCTCCCGGTCCCTGGTGTCCCCCAGTATGGCAGGCCTTGTGAGTAATATGCGAATATCGGTGGCAGTCACCCAGTCTTGGAGCACGGGGCTGTTGTCCAGATCCAGGCCCTGCGGGCTGCCATCCTGCACACTGAAGGCCAGAAGGCCTCCACCATCAGGCTGGACCTGGGGGGCTGGGAAGCAGAGGGCTTCTGGCCCTGGACCAGCAGGGCCATCAGCAGGAGCAGGCGGACGGCCATAGTCCAGGCTACAGCTGGAGGAGAAGAAGCCCAGGGGGACCCAGCTGCGGCCATGGTCCTGCGACTTAAGCAGGGCCACGGAGGTTGGGGGAGCTGAGCAGAAGCGCAGGCTCACGAAGACCAGCTCAAAAGCCTTCCCCAGGGCCACCGTGAGGGTTACGTTGAAGGGTGCCCGTTGCAGCAAATCGGAGCGCCAACAGACAGAACTTGCAGTGCCCGGAGCAGAGGTCAGGAGATCTGCAGAGTGTGCCCGCTGCGGGTCCGAAGAATCGCAGACGCGATTGGCCGGCCTCCCGCACGTGCTGGACGCCAGCACCTCTCTGCCCAGAGCAGCGTTCACTAGGCCGGGAATACAACAGCGGGGCTCACCGGCCTCATCATAGCAGGGGTCGGCGGTGGCCGGCAGCCCTGGGCTCAGTGCAGCGGTGAGCGTGCCCGCGGTCAGCAGCAGCCCCCAGGGCCAGGTGGGCATGGCCGTGGCCTCTGTGGATCAACCGGCCAGTTTCCGCTCAACAATTGTGCCCTCGAGGAGAGAGCCTAGTCCGCGACTCTATGCCTGCCGGTTCCGCAGTGTCAAAGTAGTAGAGCCCCCGGGCGGCCCCAGCACAGGCCCAGGAGTGGGAGCAGCCACGGGCACGCCCGGGGCCGAACACAGCAGCAGGGATGTTGGCTAGTACTCCTGCTAGGCCTGGAGCGTTGACAGGCGTCGCCCCCGCTCCCGGTGCCTCCGCCCGCGGAGGCCCCACCCGCCGCCGGCCGCCAGCACTCACCCACGGAGGGCCAGGAGGAGCAGGTCTCCCGGCCTCCCGGGAAAGGCCCTGGGCGGGCGGGGCCTGGGGCTCCGGGGCTGCCGCCTCCTGGCTGCTGCAAGGGCGGAGAAGCTGTGCCAGAAGTGGGTGGGGGGCTCAGCAGGCGCGAGCCTGGTCCTAGCCGGGGGCGGAGCTGCTCGGGCCGGGAAGGAAGGAGGGGAGGGGGCCTTGTCCAGACAGCCAGAATCAGAAGCAGATTCAGACTCAGGCTGGGCCAGCGCGGGAGGGGGCTGGGAGGCCCGGGAGTCGGGGGAGGGGCTGGAGAGCTAGGAATGCGCTGAAAGGAGGGGGGCAGCTCAGTCTTGCAGCCCGTAAGGGACCACCCAGCAGGGTCCTCGGCCTGAAGCCAGGCTTTGGCTGCTCCTGGGGTGGTGCCACGTGCTGGGCTGGGGTCCCAGCCACTCCTCCCAGAGGCCCATCATGCAGGCACAACTTTAGGTCTGAAGCTTGAAGTCTTGGAAGCTACCCAGAGTAGGGGAACACAGTTGGGGCTGGTGTACTTGTAGGGTATCCCCAAGGCAGTAGTCTGTTCTAGCAGAAAGAACGCAGGTCTGATTTCAAATCCAAGCTGTGTGGATTTCTGGCTGTGTAGACTGAGTTTCTCAGTTTCTTCATCAACCAAAATGCCTACTTTGTGGAGTTGCTGGGAAGATTTGATGAGCCAACATAGATATCATTCTAAACTAGGAGTTCTGCTAGGGAGCACCTGGGTTCTGCTAAGTGCTGAGATCACTGTTCCTCACTCAGTGGGATTAGGCCAATCTCTTAACCTAAAGCATTCCTGGGTCTTGGTGAACAGTTGTCAATATGATGGCCCCACTGTCCAGAAGGACTTGCAAGTTTGGAAACTGGGTAGGGAGTACAGTCTATTTGATGGCCTCTTGAGGTTCAGGGGTCTGGTCACCTGTTGAGGGCCCCTATGGGGAGGTAAGGAGTGGGGTTTGACACAGAGAAGGACTGGTCACAAATAAATCAGAGTCAGAATCCCTGAACTCGACAGTCTCTGTCCTAGTAGATTTGGGTAGGAAAACAACAAGCCTGTGCCCCAGATGAGTTGCCAGGGCACTAACTAGCTGGAGATGAGCTGAGAGGTTCTTGACAAGAACCAAAGATTCTTCTCTTGCTGCCCTTGTTCCTGGCAGGCCAGGCAGAGCTGGGTTGACTCCACAAAGAGTGGGCAGGCATATTGTCCCATCTCGGGGGCAGAACTGAGGCCCAAAGACCTAGGTTCCTAAGGGAGGCTAACCACAGGCTAGTCTGCAACTGGCCTGGGGGTGCTTGTGTACTCAGAGCTACCATCGTGGACTGAGTGTTCCTGACA